TCCCTCTGTCTGCCCCTCTCCTGCTCATGCTCTCTCTTTTTCTCTCTCAAAAGAATAAAAATAAACATTAATTTTTTTAAAATATTTAAAACAAAAAAGTGTTTTCCCAGTCAGTATAAAGTTCAAATCAATTTCATTCAGTTCCTAACAAAAAAAAAAAAAAGTCAGTTGTTTTTTTTTTTTTTTTCAACTTAACTTTTTATTTGAGGGAGAAAGTTTCCCTTCTGGACAGTTTGCAGCCTGGAAGTGGGAAAAATGTGGTGGGGAGGGGAACTAATGAAACTTTGTTGTGGAATCCTTCACAAAGAAATACAAGATGTGTTCCATAATGCAGCCCTTTGTTTGTGGAGCCTCTGACAGAATCCTGCAGTTTGAGTTCAGGCTGAAAGTGGCCACCAAAGTCATCACTAACTCCAGGCAGCTCTGAGTCCTTTTCCCCACCTCCTGCTATGATTACTCTGGCTTCTGATTAAATCACACCTTATATTAAAGGTCACTAACCTAAAACGACCCAAAGCTACTTCTTTCTCTCAACAGTTCCCCATTACCTGTAATATTTGGAAGGCTTGAAAATAGCTTCTGTCCCAGCTTCTGTAGTTTTTCTCCAAAAGCAAATTCTATATATAATAGTTTCCTCAAGCATGGGTTAAACCTCAGGTGAAAGATTTTGGAAACTAATTAGCATGCTAAGAACTTGAGCATTTGGATGAGTCAGTCCTGCTACCTAAGGGACAGAGAAAGTGTCTCCTTAAAAGTGATATTTAATAATGCTGGTTCCTCACTTAGTTTTAATACAGCTGGAACTGCATTGCATTGTCTTCTTTGTATTTAATAGAAATCTTGTTTATATGATCTCTTCTTTAAAATATTCATCCCTTTGGGGCTTATTCTAATGTCTTATTTCTTACTTAAAAATATTTCTACTAATTTTGGAAAACTTTAGAAAGATTCTTTCATTATAGGTTGTAACTGAACTGGGTTGTAACAAATTCTTCTCATAGAACTTCTTACTTTAGACTCATTTTTTTTCTTTTTTGACCTTGTTTAATTCTCTTTTCATGTCTTAGTACAATTTTCCCCTTTCCTGCTTTCAGAATGAGAATTTCATTACGTATATTGAATGTCTAGTATACATAGACAAGATAGGAAGCAAATGAGTATTTATTAAATGCCAAGAATGTAACCAGTGTTTGCCATCTCGTTAGGAAGAATAGTTTGGATAATTCAAATTATGAAAGTTATTTCTTGATTAGAAAGTGTACAGTAGCAGAAATCCTGACTTGAGTGGCTTAAACAATAAGGGTTTGTGTTTTTCACAGAACAGGAAGTCCAGAGGTAGGGAATTGCTGGTGTGTGATAAAGCCAGGGCCAACATCTCTGGGGTTCTCTTTGCCTTTTGTTCGTGTCTGTTGCTTTAGGATCACAAAATAGCTGCTACAGCTCCAAGCATCATGTCTATGTTGAAAGAGGGAAGAAGGGAGCATCAGGTGTTGTCTGGAAGTGTTGTATCAGTATATCATACACCTGAAACTAACATTACTATATGTTTACTAACTAGAATTTAAATACACACTTAGAAAAGGAGAAAAAAAAGGGAGGAAGGGAGATGCCGAAGGATCACCTTTTACCTCTGCCTTTATCAGAAGAGAAAAAGCTTTCTCAGCAGATTTGCCATATGGAACTTACTGACTAGAACTGGGTCCCAAAGCTGCCGTTGGTTGCTAGGGAGGCAAGGAAATCAGGAAACAGATTTGTCATAATTGGCTTGGAAATATCACAAGTCATCATCCAGGACTGAGCACATTACCATTCTGAACAAAATAGGGGTCTGTAGCTAGGATGAATTGGGGGAATGGGTATTGGGGGGGGCATTCGTGTCAACTCTTATTCGTGTTCACCAGAACCAAAGGGAAGTTAATGTGTACCACAAAAACTAGAAGATGATGTATGTGGAGGTAGAACATAAGCTGGACTACGAGTAACTAAAACAATGAGATCAATAAAAGAATAATGATAGGACCCTCCAACAAGAGAAGAACAAAAGCTGAGAGCAGGAACACATATACTGTATATGAGAAGTAGTCACCACATTGTGAATTCCTTAATTATTTGAAGGCAGGAAGTAAGCCTTATTTCTTTTTATTTTCCTAGTGTCTCACACACAGTAGATGATTATTGAATCACAGTAAATGAACGCATAATATTTCAACCCAGAAGTCCAGACATGACTTCACAAATTATGGAGATAATAGAAGAGAAAATGTAAAATTTAGGACTCCCTTGACAATACCAGGATAAAGGGAAAAACTAACATAGTCTGGCTCTACCCCAGAATACTTGTTGGGATGGATTGGGACCTGGGATGCCTAAGTAGGGTAGAGCAAGAAGTGGAGGCTGAAATACCAAGGTAATAATTTGAACTTGACCTGTGAAAGCCCAATTGTGTTTCCAGAATCCAGTTTTGGTGATACACAAACAGTAGTGTCCAACAGGCCCTCCAAGCACTGGAAGCACCACTCCCGCAGCACTCTTTTGCTCCTTTTGCTCCAAGTTCTGTTCTCTGTGACCAGGGATTTCCAGTGTGCTAGGAGCTTCTGAAAAATGAAAAGTCGCTCATTGGAGATTTCCTCGATTACTATTCTACAACAATTGAAGTTTTTATATTTATTCAGGGTCTGTTGTATGCCAGTCACCCTGCTACAGCTTTTAGGAGGTTATTGAAATAACTCTGACTACAAGTTGCTTACATTCTAATTAATAATTTAAATGTTTTGATTGATTTACGATAAAAGAAAAAAATTAATACTCTTCAAAAAAAAAAAGAAATCAAATCAGTCAGAAGGATAGTTTGACTGACTTTTGTTGTTATGGTACTAATTTAACTGGACAATTCTTGACTCAGCCAAGAGTCAAACCAACTTGTTTCTGCAAATACTGTATAAGCAACTTCCACCAAAGAGAAATTGCCTTTCTCACTATAAGGCCTGCTTTTTTTTTTTTTTTTTTTTTATTTAACAAAGGATAAAGTCTGTTGTCCTATTTTATTTCCCAAAACCTAGAATTTAAATTTGGTTTACAGGTCTACTACATGGCTTAATAGTAGACTGAAATAATAGATAAAAGTAATCTCATCTTTAAATTGCACCACCATGAATCCCATATAATTTCAAAGATTTAACATTACTTTTTATATGTACGACCTCGATTTTACCTGAGAAGTACACCAATGGATTGGGGGATAGGCACAGTGTTTTAAAAAGGCAACTTTAAGGGTGCCTGGGTGGCTCAGTCGGTTAGGCTTGCAGCTCTTGGTTTTGACTCAGATCATGATCTCATGGTTTGTGAGTTCAAGTCCCTCATTAGTCTCCATGCTGAGAGCACAGAGCCTACTTGGGATTCTCTCTCCTTCTCTCTCTGCCCCTCCCCTGCTCACTCTCTCGGTCTCTCTCTCAAAATAAATAAACCTTAAAAATTTTTTTTAAATAAATAATATAGGCAACTTTAGTAAGTTGGCAATTTTATCACACTTATGGTCTATAGCCATTTAATGAAATTTACTTGTTACTTTAGACTTCAGCCTCCCTGGTTAGATTAGAATACTTTGGATTTATTTGATCTGACGAGTGCTTGTTATTTGACAAAAGAACATCTATTTTGTTTTAATTGATTGAGGGATATATTTTCAGTGGCAGATCTTTAACAACTCCTCCAAAGACTTGTAACATTGCTAATATTGCACTTGGATAAGTTATTAATTTATCTGGGCATTGGTTTTATCACCTGCCAAATGAGTTAACTGGACTTACATGGTCTCTAGCTACTTTCAGCTCTAAAATTGTATGATCTCATTTTTCAGTTCAATTCAAGAAATATGAGTAGAATACTTACATAATGCAAATCAATATGGTGAAATCTGGATGGATACAGAGATGAATAATATGATCTTTTTATATAAGTAGCTTGTAATTTGATGCATTCGAGGTTGAGATGTCTATTTCCCAACACATCCTCACTCCTTGGATTTGGGATGTTATTTATGAATGAGGGTATGTAATTTATTCCCAAAGGGGTGCAAATTCATTCATCACTGTTTCTGATATTTGGATATGAAGAACCCAAAAGAGGGTCTGAATTATCATTTTAATAAAATTGTGCATTTGCATCCTACCGTCACTGCAGAGAACTTATAGCATTTCAGAACTATTATCCCATCAACCCTAAAGAAGCCCAATGCATGTAGAAAAAGATAAATGTAATTATTCCCATTTTCCTGATTAGAAACTGGACCCTAGATTTCCTGGAGTTCTATGATGAGCCAGTGAGTGAGAACACGTGGAAATCTAGGAGCTGTCATCCAGAACTGCACAGCCAACTTTCCTTGGGTGTGACAGTTTCTTTTAGCAAGTTCTGTAGGGCCCAACAGACTTCTTCCACACTGGATCCTTCCTTATTCCATGTTAAAACAGCACTTTAGCCATTGATGATTTCAGTTGTATCAACGGGGGTGGGGGTGGGGGCTGGGTGGGAAGGGTATAGGGGAAGAATGGCATGTGTACAGCAACAGATGTGATAAGCAAGCTGTGGTACTGTGATATAATGTTTCAGTGTTGGGCATGCATTAAAATTAGAAGAGAAGCTGGGGACTTCTTCATCGATCTAATCCATACGCATTTGAGTGTAGAGAACCAGCAGCTGTAAAGAAAGCTGCACTTATGCTAGGTGAGAACATCATTCTAAACAAGCCACCCTGAAAACTCTGCCTCCATTATTAGTATCACTAGGATTTTCCTAGCCTGCTTTCCAGAGGAGTCAGGAACATAAGAAATGTCTTTTTTTTTTCTTTTACAAATCTTGCAAGCAGCTCCTTGGAAATTTACCTAAATTTTCCTAGGTAGTAAAAAAGTCATATCCGTGTTTCGCCTCATGGTTTCCTTAGTCAAAAAATTTGCATCTAAGGGCCTAGGAAAATGTTTGGCCTTCACAATTGAATGTTTAAACAGGTGCATGCTGCACTGGGCTGGCTGAGGAAAGGTAGTCGCCTCCTTCTGGAAACCCTGACGTTAAGAGAATGATTCTTGTGCCGGCTTTCACAAGTGTTTGTGAAGGAAAGTTCAGGTAATTCTTAAATCTCATTACCTGGTTACTAACCAACTGGCCTCCCTCCCATTCTGTGTTCTCATGAAGAAATTGATTTAATAGATTCAAGATATTATTAAATACATTCTGCATTAATATTATATGTCCTCTTTGAATCCAAGTGGCAATACAATAGAATTTCATTTTATAAATAACACCTTTCAAGCTAACACCACAGGGCACAGTACAAAAGAATCAAAATAGAACACAAAGGCTGTAATCAAATGCAGACCCCAGGAAGGCTGATTAAAAAGGCATGTTGCTAGTAAGAGCAGCCGACAGGGTAAGTATAGTGGGTCAGAGCAGAAAAGCCTGCTGAACAGAAGGGCAAACTAAAATAAAAGGGACTCGCCCGCCTGATTCACGTGGACGTGGACGTATGGCTCTCCTTTGTCATCATCTCCTTTTGGACTCAGAAATTGCAAGGGAGAGATGTGTGTGTGTGTGTGTGTGTGTGTGTGTGTGTGTGAGTGTTTGCTGGGGAGGTGGGGATCAAATGTGTATAGGGTCATGAGGTTTAACCTCAGTCCTCACACACAACACAAACAAAAGAACATCCTAGATACGCCTGCCTGCCTCCAACGACTGCGAGACGGCCCAACAAGGCTTGCTTGGCTCCATGATACCACTGGTTTTCAGAAAACACAACTGTGAAGAAGCAAGTAGGTCCTTCCCATAACAGTGAGGGCATTACAACTTGTGGCCAGGCCTGGGTAGAAACGGGTAAATGAGTGAGAACTGTGCTTTGTGGTGTTTGTCGATACGAGGCGATAGTCTGTGCTCCATAGTCCCTCTCCCCACAGAACTTCTTACTGTGCCTTCAGCCTCTCACCACAACAACCTTTCCTAATGTCAGAGATTTGTGTTTTAAAACCCTACCTCTAATTAGAGACTAAAAAGTACAGGCCCCCCCCCCCTGTTTTTTTTTTTTTTTTTTTTTTTTTGTTTTGCGAAAGAGAGAGAGAGAGAGGGAGATGGGGGGGGGGGGGGGGGGGGAGGTGCAGAGAGAAAGGGAGACACAGATCCGAAGCAGGCTCCAGGCTCTGAGCTGCCAGCACAGAGCCTGACATGGGGCTTAAGCACATGAACCAAGAGATCTTGACCTGAGAAGTCAGATGCTCAACCGACTGAACCACCCAGGCCTGCCAGATTCAAGCCTCCTTTTAGAGGAATTGAGGAATTAGGCAAAACAGGGGCAGTATTTCGGCACGATAGCTCCCTATTCATATGCAAAACCAATTCTAAGAGTGATCACTGTGTACCTTGAAGAATGCACCACATGGGTCATTTCCTGATGCTTCTCTATTTGATATTGAGGATATGACAATATAGGACAGGAACCATAGGAAAAATTTCCTGCTAAATAGATGATACATTTTCCTGAAAACTAGCAACCTATACTTAACAGTCTCCCCCAAAAATGAGTCAACAGCAAATATGAGTTCTCGAGTCAATAAAAAGAAAAGGAGAAAAAAAAGTAAAAATGATAATTAAAATAATTTTTACCTGTCTCAAAGCTGTGGGTTCTTTGTAATGGCTCTCTGATTACCCACTTAGTTAAGATTCTGGACTGGGATTACTGATGCATAAATTTAGGTCAATAGTTTAGTATTTATGTACATCTTTTTCTTGATCTGTAAGTTATAAACAAGTAAAACATATATGGGCATCACTTGAGGGAAAATATTATACAAATACTAGTATTTCTACTCTTATTTAATAGAATGTTATTTTCCTTAATTCTGACAGTATTTATTTAGCCGTACAGAGTTAATTTATTAGTGAAGGTGAACAGAACATTGGATTGTAATCAGCAAAGTTAAGTATTTTTATAAAATATGTGAGCAAATAATGATAACTGGGCCAGTTATCAGTGCATTGCCTCTCAAATCCAAATTTACCCTTCCTTACATTCCTTAGGAAGATGTATCTGAGTTCTTTAAATATGTTTCTTTTCCCAGCTGGTGGGAGTCAGCAGGGGGTTTGGAAAGAAGTTTCAGGAAGACGTGGTTTTCCTTCCTGGTTCCTGGGTATTCCTTTAGCAGATTCCAGCAGTATACATGGTTTCTCCAGGGCCCGGCCCCTGCAGCACACACAACTGCCTTGGGGTCCAGCACCTGAAGAACATGTAGCCTCTCCAGGGCCCAGCGACTGGTAGCTTCCCTCCAGCACCCACCACACACGCCTGCACGCACACACACACGCGCGCGCGCACACACACACACACACACACACACACTCACACTGGGTGATTCGTGTAGCAGAGTGCCTCAGGTGAGACACCACCCTGCTCCCCAGAGTGCAGATGTCCGGCAAGTTCTGCCGGTACAGCTCCCCAGCAGTTTCTCTGCCAACCATTCATAAATATCCATGCCTCGTCCACCAAAATCTGGGTCCCTCTCCTGGGTTTCAGGAGACTCTTCTTTGGGCACCGTGTCTCAGCCCTAGAAGTAATGATTGCTCCTTATATTTGCTATTCTTATATAATTTAGAATTCTCTTTACTTCTTACTAGCTACTCCCTCATTACTGCAATCCGCTGTTATAGTTAATAATTCTTTATATTAAACTTTTCCTGTTCAAATTGCTATGTGGTTTCTCTCTCCTAATGGACCTGGAATAATACCTACCCAAAGAATATTAGAATAATCTGTATTCTTTGGGAGTATGGGAAAGTAAATATGATAAGCCATCTCTTTATGGAATGGATTAGCGTTGGTATGGTACAAGGCACCTTCTCTAGGCCTGGCTATTAGATGAATAAAAACTTTGAGAATCTGATGCTACATTGAAAGGTGACATAATGATATGATGTTATATACTATTTTTAAGTATATGTCATGTTAAGGATCAACTTTAAAATATTTTACTTGATTTCACTGAGAATTTTTTAAATGTGAACTATATAATAAAGCAAACAACAGAAGTCTGGACTCAAAAGTGATTTGTTGTCCTTGAAAAGATGTTGCAAAATAACACTGTAATGTGAATTGGTAGATTATTAATACTAGGGTAATAATGACACCCATCCTTTACTGGGAATTCGGAAAGTCCTTAGCACTTTTTTTTAATTTATTGAACCCTCATAGCAATACAGGTGGATACTATTATTATCTCTGTTTTACCAGTGGGAAAACAGGGCCTTGGGAAGGTTAAGGAACTGGCCTAACATGATATGTGTGGTAAGTTTCAGAGCCAGAACTTGAACCTAGATATCCCTATGAGCCCTGGTTCTTAGCCACTGTATTCTGCTTCCAGAACACTACCACTGAAGCAGATAGCAAGTTACCTGGGAGAACAAACACAAAAATTTGTTTTTGTTGTTTTCATCAAATATCCAGAAAAAAACAAAAACAAAAACTCTGAAGTATTTCTAGAATGTATACCACACCCTGAGATATTTCCGAGACAAGCAATCTCTTACTTTGACCCAACAAGATATGGACAAACTGGATGAATACTGGTCATCAAATCCTCAGAACCAAAGTGTTAACAGTGTATCAAAACCTAGCAGCCTTTATTCCGAGCTGAACTGAAGGCAGATGAAATATTAACAGCAGTCCTAGCAGCACAAAATGAAATATGAGATCCTGTATCAGAAATTATTAGTAACCTGTTAAAAGAAATGCTGAAAAATGGCAGTTACCAAATTAAAACTGGGAAACAGAGCCCAAATGGGAAATTTCGAAAAGTTTGGAGGAAAATAAATGACAGATTGTCCTCTTGGCTCTTATTACTATGCCATCCTAAATCCTACTTGGCAATACATAGTGGAGGTGAAATAAGAAGTGCATCACTGCCAGTGCCGGTCCTCAAATTTGTAGTCCCAAGTGTCTGTGATGATGTCTGAGATTGATTGGAAAAGTAGTAGGAATTTGGTAGCATTTAGCTTTATCGAAATTGAAGAGTCTGGAGACTCTTATTATGAAAGGCTTCCTCTCATTTGTGAATTGGCCCCTTTGCTCCACTTTTGGATGGCTTGCTTCCTTCATGCCGAGCTATGCTAAATGCTCTACATGGGAAAGCTATTCTCCTTAAATGCCTTCAAATTTAAAGCATCTATCTGGATATGTTTGTGTTTATGACTCCAAATATCCAGCATGAAAGAGAGAGAGAGAGAGAGAGAGAGAGAAAACGGGATTACAAATACCAAATACCAGGTAGTAAATGAAGGAGATATTTTTCCATCAGTAACTGAGAGCAGAGAAATGACTATAAGCAGAGTGGTTGAGCAGTTGATGCCAGAGAGAAAAAGGAAATGAGCTATAGGACCATAGAATCTTAGTGTTGGCAGAGACTATGGAGTTCATGTGGTCCTACCCTATCATTTTTCAATGAAGAGACTGAGACACGGGGAGTTAAGGGACTTGACTTGCCCTAGACACATAGTTGTTTACTGACAGTCAGGCAAAAAACATTTCCTAGTTCCCAGTCTGGAACTCCGTAGTTCAGCGTGCTATTGCCATCGTCTACTGAAAATTAACACTAACCCAGCCTGGAACATAGAAGGATTCAGCATCTGTGGGGAACAAGAAACATGATGAATTTTGAGATGGAAATCAGTCTGGGAAAAGGAGAGAGGAAATGGATGATCCCGCTTGGTTGTGACTCATTGGCCAAGCTTGTGCAAGACACTTTATGTCAGTTTACTCCCCCATGCCTTCCCACAAAAACTAATAAAATCTTTGGTTGTAATCCCCCGGGTTTATATTTATGCATTCAGATTTGATTTGCTTAGCGAACTCTCCTACGTGCAGGTTATCTCCAGGTGTAGATGGGTTTGTGGGTGGCATTGCTATTGATCCCTGTGATTTACAGGAGCCTGGCTTTCCTTCTCCAGGAGTGAAAAATGCTCCAGAGTCTTCTCCATAGGACACTCCTAACTAAGGATCAGATGTATGTTCAAGACATAAGAATTATCTTCTATTAACCCTTGTATTCTATTAACCTCATGGAGAATTTGAGCAAATACACACACAC